ATTATTTCGACGCTGCCCTAGTTGGAGTTGAAGGACAAGAGCGATGTCATGCTACTTGCAAGAACACAGGACTTTGTATCCACAGAGGGCACATAACAACAACATCTGCTGTAAAGAGCCACTAATGGACAATCCCTTCTCTCATTTATCTCCGCACCCTCATCGGCCGGATAGGGCAACAAAAGACAGAAGAGGGCGGAGCCACGGGAGGGAGGCGCCATCGACTGCCGCGGCGCTGGATGCAGGCCGGAAGATTAGTTTTGGTCCAACAACGAGCGATCATAAAATGCGAAAGAGGGAGGAGAGAGGAGAAGACAAGACGAGGATTAGTGCCACTTCAGGAAGGAGAGAAGAGGAAGGAAAAAAGTGGACTTGAAATTTAGTCAGGATTAGTTTTGGTTAGGGGTAAGAGAGAAGAGGGAGAAATTACAGTAATAAGATTCAAGTGTTCTCGCGGTTTCTCTGTGGTTTCAAAATATAGCAATTAACCAAAACTGAAGAAGCTACTTATAAAGATGGATGAAATGTTGACCAAATTGTGACGTACGCTCGGAAAAAGCCTTTTTACAGGTTTATGCTTGACACGTGCATTGTTTTTTTTCTTGAGGGGAAATTATTATTTTGGAGAGAGAGTTATCAATGTATTTTGTAATGTTATTGTTGTATGGTTTTTACTTTTAGGTGTATTGTACAAGTATAACTGTACGCACAACCTTAATCTAACAGGTTGTATACATGTTCAAGAATTGTTTTTCAAATAAAGGGGACAGAAGGATTTTTTTTTTAGTCTCATGCTTGTCATTTCTAATAGCCAGAACTTCTCGAGAAAACTTTAATAATAGTTAGACTAATAATCAGACAATACTTGATATGTACTGACAAACAAGATGTGGAACGTTGACAGTTTTCCTTTTATGTAGATTGGCTTAAGAATTATCAAGAAATTAGCTGAAAACTAAACCTAGAAGTCTGACTTTTGACAGTTACCATAGTTACCACAAAAGATATTTCAGCTGCCCTCCTACAAAACGTTTGAACTAAAAGCTCGTTGGAATATTGCGATGTCACATTCATGCATTAGAAAATATCGTATTGAAAAATGAGCTGAAAGCACTTTTTACCATTCAGACACTAAACTTACCACAGTGTAATTATGGTTCTGACCCTGAGCTATTTTCACAATTAAAAAAAGATAATGATAATTCAAATTGTTTACTAGGTCTCTGAAAACCAAGGACTGACTGGATTATTGAAGCAGATGAGCTATCAAGGTTACACACAAATCCTGGATAAAATAATGACAATAATGATTTTCTTATTGGGGCTTTGTGAAGGTCCGTCTGTCTGTCTCTCTAGTGTAATGGAATCTGAAGGTTAATAAACTCATTAAACAACATTTGACGACTTCATCAACATTTATGGACCTTGGTCATTTGCCCCTTATGGATCAGTGGCTCTATATGTTTTTAATCGTTGCATTTTTTGTATTTGAACGGTTTGATTAGCTGATCTGTGTTGGCGAATTGAATTAACAATTTGGGATGATCTGTACGAATACGTTTATAGTTTTACTCCATCAAAATATTTCCATAAATTGTTTCTGTTCTTACTCAAATTTTTTTTTGTATAATGCACAAGGTCCGAGTGGGAATCCTGTCAGAAGGTTGACACAACATTAGCATCTCCTCCCCACGCATTTATCTGCTATTTCTAACTAATGACAACAAGATAATTAAGCTGTAAGAAAGTTGTCAGCTTCCTCTGTGCTAATAACGCAGACAATTACCCCTCGCAACAACTCTGGCATTTAAGAATTCATTCGAGAATCAATTTTTTTCTTGCACGCCAAATTACCGCCAATTTAATCAAGGCTGGATGATTGGGAAGTACATGAGCGCGTACACACTAGTTGCAAACCGTTTCTCCATGGGGGGGGACAAAGCTATTACAAAAAAGAAACAAGGCCCCTGTGGATAAAAACTGGGATGGGAATTGGAGCAGACTTGAGACACGCAAAGGCACGACCGGACCGATACACGCGTTAATAGACAAATCATAGAACACGCAAGGTTCAACAGAAGACGACAACAAAAGGCGACAAGTGATTAACTGGAAAACAGTGGTGGATGATCATAGAAAGAAAAAAAAAATATGATTCACACGAACAAGCTGCTGTGTTCGGGTTTCCCACAGAGACATGGGCAGCATTCCCAAACCGGAATGGGCAGATCAGTGGACTGGAAGACTAACATTACTCCGGGAGGGCTCTGGATTAGATCAAGTCTGGGAATTTCACACTGAGAAGAGGGAACAGGGAGATGGGATGAGTGGAGGAGACAAGCAAGCAGACGATTAGCGAAAGGACGGCCCAAAAAAACAACGCAATTAGGGCTGAAACACGACTGAATTTGTTTTAAAGAAGAATCTGTATGCTTTATTTTTGCCATAAAAAATAATTATGAGACTGTTTACTTTGTTGTTTAATGTTTTAGAACGTGAAATAATATATATAGTAGAAGAAGAATGCCCTGTCCCTACCACCAGAGGGAAGTGTCACATTTTTTGTAATATTTTTCTATTCTACATTTCAAAATTACCCGCTGCAAACACAACCATGTGATGGCAACAAACGTAATTTCACCTGTGAAGATGCCAACGCTAATATATGAGCAATACTTTTGTTGTTAACGGCTGATAATGGCCCAGAGTGTGATGTCATAGTGATATAATAACATTACAGGACTGAGACAGAAGCTTTAGACCAGGGGTGCTCAATACGTCGATCGCGATCTACCAGTCGATCACAAAGGTAGTATTGGTAGATCGCATAAATAAATAAAAAATTACACATTCTAAACGAATATATACAAAAAACTCCGGGCAAAGTGGAGATTTTTGAAAACTCCGTTAATGCATTTGTGTGTAGACAGAGATAACCAGAGTTTTGCGTTCTCGCACGCCACAGTACCCCCCTAAATTCCTCTGATCACTGAAGCATGGATCATACTACCTTAAAAACTGTTTGCTGTGAGATACTCGCAGCAGCGAACATCCTCGCTCCACATCAGAGAGCAGCAAAGTGATCACGGGGACTCACGCTCGAAAACAACCAAACCAGGACTAAACCAGGACTTAACCAGGACTAAACCAGGGCTGAGGACGGGGTCAGTGCTTGTAAACATACGTCTTTACTCTGAGTGTCTTCTATGACTGTAAAAGTGCCGTTACCGGCGTCTGCATCAAAGCTCCGCCCACTTCCGCGTTTTTCCCCAACGCAGGACAGGACGTAAGAGACGCACATGTTTGGAATGTTACGAATGTGACTGATAACGCAGATGTGTGGATGCAAATTATTTTATAAACTGAGGAGGGGAAATATTTGGATTTAAAAAAACAGGCATGGCACATGGACATGGCACCACAGTCAAATGACATCTGTGTTTTACTCAGTAATGTTTTACTGACACTTAGGTGACTGCACATGCGCAAACAACCGCGCTCAGTGCAGAAATGCTAAACCACGACAAACTTGTCAGCGAGTTACCACCAATTTTCCGGACTATGCATCCCTGGCCGATTCAATTCAGTGCAAGTCATCAGAGTAAACTCGGGTAATGACAAAAAATGTACATAGGTAATTGTGTTGTGCTATATTGGCTCATGCGGTTTTGCATGTACATAAACATACATTGTAGATATAAAGAATATTTTTTTAAATAAATATATGATTTGCATTTTTGTAGTAGGTAGATCATTTTGACTTGATCCTTTTATAAGTAGCTCGCATGCTGAAAAAGTGTGAGCACCCCTGCTTTAGACAGAAGGGGCACAAACATGTGTCAACACTCTTGACACATGTTTGTGTCAAGAATTCTGGATATTAGCGTAGATGGATCTAAAAACAACTCCAGGTCTGTTACTGATGAGGGAACAATGTTGCAACATGGTCGATTTTTGCATTATATGTTTCCTTATAGCAGTAATGCCAGAGGTTGCGTTCTTATATTGGGATTTAATGATGTTCAAACTTCAGATGAATGCTGCTGGCCACCATTCTTCCATGTTCTAAGTAAATATCTGATCAATTAAAATTATAGAGGACGTTTTTAATGTTGTAGTGAAAAGGACTTCTTGATGACAAATTACACATTTTAGAGCTCTTGTTCTATATTGATGTGCCCAAAATTACCTAAAAACTTTGATACATCAAAATCTGGAGTTGTTTTTAGCTCCATCCAGGCTAATATCAGAAAATCCTTGCACAATCACTTTGCCTAGTTTCTCAAATCTCACACTTAAAGAACAAATGGTTACATTTTCAAGATGGTCCGAATCAGTGTCTGGATCTGGGCTTCCTATTACGAATGGAACTGAGCCTCTTTCTAGTTACCCATACATGACATAATTTCATATTCTAAAACATAAAATAGCAAAATAAACATTCACAAGATGTTGAAGGACAATATGATGGACTTCTTGGCCTTGTTGCCATAGAGACCAGTGATTGTGCTTCGGTTCAGAGATTCTTTATTGGTCCCAGAGAGGGAAATGTCAGTGTTGCATCACGAGTTACAGAACAGTAGGAATGAGGAGCACATGAGATTATAGTACTAGTATATAGCAGTATATATTTCTCATTCACATTTCCATGAGAAGCCTTTTTGCACTGGTGAGCCTCCGATTGTAAAACTGCTGTTCACGACTGTAAACGGCTGTATATTCACGGCTGCACGTTCATAATTTAGAAACTCACCTGCTCTCCGCTTCCATTTTAAAGAATAGACTTTTCTTGTCGAACTCACTTTCAAGGCAGGCTGTAAAAGCGCGTCGAGAAGTGCTTACAAGTTATGGGATGAATGAGAAACGCTGGAGTAGTGCAGTAGTGACAGAAGTGTGACAGGCTGGTGTTAAAAGGGACGGATGAAAGGATGCGAGGATGAAAGAGAGAAGAGAAGGAGGGAGAGGAGGAGAGAGAGAAAGAGAGAGAGAGGAGTACTCACTGGACTCGCAGCAAACGGTCACACGCAACTTCATGCAGGGGAGGGGGGGGCCTTCGTCTGAGGGCAAAGCTGTGGAGAGAAGGGCCATCGTCAACAAGAAGCCAAGGCAAGTTTCACAAGAGTACAACGTGTTTCTGTGCAGAGGGCTTTGAACGAGAGCTTCAGCTGCACGGGAGAGAGTACAAGTATTATACAGGCGTAAAAGTAGTGTGTGTGTGTGTGTGTGTGTGTGTGTGTGTGTGTGTGTGTGTGTCTGTGTGTGTCTGTGTGTGTGCGTGCGTGTGTATGTGTGTGTTTCATATTATGTATATAAAATCTGAACACATCAAAAAGGAATGGAACTCAAAGCCATGTTGACTTTAATGTAGTTTACTTTTCTGCTCCAGAAATATTACTGCAAAAGTAAAAACCATGGAAATAGTATATTTCATCATGTTCAAATATTAAACTCATTGATGCATTATTGATATATTGAGTTGATTTCAATATGATTTAAAAAGCTTGTTTTCAACATCAGGCTGTCCTTTAGCACAAAATCATTTTGAACTTTGAACTTATTTTTTGTTTTATTGACCTATAACCAGAATAGTCCCACTGAGATATGAGAATATCTTTTCAGAAGAGTCCTGGCCACAAAGAGAGGGAAGCTTTGTACATGTTTTTAGTGTTGAGAGAAACCGGAGCATCCAGAGGAAACCTTCCCAGTGGAGCAACTCCACTAAGAAAGTCCCTTTCAGGAGGGAGAATCGAACCCAGGACTTTCTTGCTGAGAAGTGAAAGTGCTAACCCCTCACCCACCGAATTGCAACTATCAATACTTGTAAAAAAAAAAAAAAAAAAAAATTCCTTAATTTTGACAACGCTACTAATGTAATTAAGTATAATAATAATTATCATTGCACACACAACACTTTTGTACGTCTCCAATCTAGGATCTTTATAGAAACGTCAGCAGAGCATTAATGAGAGTAAACATGAGAGGCATTAGCTGTCACTTCAGCGTCACTTCACACACCCATGTGTTTGATGTGCCGCTAAACACTTTAGAGACGTGAATAATTCACAGACAGATGCTCCCTCTACAGGCCCCTGCTGCACACGCTGAGGGAAGGACCAGTCTGGACCAGGACCAGACTCCGATCCATCCACAGCCTGGACACATCAACAAAATACACACACAAATAACTACTTTCAACATCATTCTCCAATCATCAATTATAACAAGGAGTACAAAGTAACAAGTACGTGGATCTTACTTGTTGCAAAAGTGACTGCAATTACAGAAAACTCAAATAATAATAATGAATAATAATGCATCGGTTTTATATAGCGCTTTTTTGGACACTCAAAGCTTTACATGTCATTATTCTTTCCCTCCATACACAGTGGTGATAAACTACTACTGTAGCCACAGCTGCCCTGGGGCACACTGACAGAAGTGAGGCAACCACTATGTGCCATCGGCCCCTCCGACCACCACCAACCATTAAAGAAGCTATACCCGATTTTTTTTCTAAGTAGTTGATAAAAATGCTTATTACTACATACAAGTTGTATCATAATACATAATTTAATTGAAAACTTGAGGTCATTGATTCAGCTGTGTAAGAATTACAAGCAGTGAAAAGTGCTGAGTAGAGTCTGAGCGGGACGCTCATTCTCCTCCGCTCACAGAACGATCAGCGAACAGCCTGCGTCCTCTAGCCTCTACAGCGCTGCTTAACACCAGGGCTTCGAAATTCGAATATAATTCTAAAATAAATAAAAAATATATATATTCGAACACATATTAGACAGCCCTTACCATTCGAAATGTATTCAATAACTGCAAATAAAATAGTTAGCTCCTAACCCAGATAGCAAAAGGACATCGTTTCAACATTGATTTAGGGTCAGATGGTTGACTTTTGGTTGAGGTTGAAAGAAAAATGTTGATTCAATGTTTTATTACAGATAATAAATCAATAATTAAAAAAAGAATGTTGAATCAACACTATTTTATGGACATAAGTTCAACCATTGAAAGTGTAACATTGAATCAACCTTATTTTACAGATGGAAATTTAACCATTGAAAGTGTAACATTGAATCAACCTTATTTTACAGATGGAAATTTAACCATTAAAAGTGTAACATTGAATCAACCTTATTTTACAGATGGAAATTTAACCATTGAAAGTGTAACATTGAATCAACCTTATTTTACAGATGGAAATTTAACCATTGAAAGTGTAACATTGAATCAACCTTATTTTACAGATGGAAATTTAACCATTAAAAGTGTAACATTGAATCAACCTTAAATTACAGATGGAATTTTAACCATTGAAAGTGTAACATTGAATCACTGTTAAAAATCGGTTGTATATTTTTTTTGGTTGAAAAATTCCCAATAAATCAATGTTGTTTCGATATAAGGACTACAAGCCCGGGAGATTTTAGTTAAGTGTACAGCGCCCCTGCATCTCGGAGACGGAGACGGAGAAAGTCAGAACTGGTAAGTGCTCATCGCTTCTAAACTTAAATCATCGTCTTGGGTGTGATCAGTGAGCTAATAAATAGAATGTAAGGTGTTGCTTTAGGCTATGTTATGCTATTTTCTTAGTAGTTTGTCAGAAGCTGATGTGTAACCAACATTATGCCAAGCTAACGTTAAACTTTGCCACCAAAAAAGCTCAGTTTAAGGGGCTGTTTTTAGCTGCTTACAATTCCTCAGCACCCGGTTGATAAGGGAACAAGGATGGTATTAAGGTTGTGTTATGCAAATGGGTTTTATTAGGTAGTTAATAATTCTCTGCTTAGTTTAACAATAACTTTCCCCACACAATAGAGGGGGCTAAAGCACTTCGGTAAAGCCACGATCTATGATTAGCACACTGCGATTTATAAGGTTAAAGTTGAATAGCCTATAATGTAAAATAAAAAAAATGTCATGGTAAGACACAAGGGGTAATGCCAATTAAATATTTATTTGTGAGTAAATACAGCATTTCACATACACTTCATTTGTACTAGTCATTCACTGTCAGACAGAAAAATCAAAAAGCATTAAAACCAAATCTAAAAGCTTTAATAATGATTTCCATTTCTCTTTTACAGAAGTCCCAAGTTGATATCACGAACAACAAAGCAATCAAGTAATGCAATTTTTACAGCACCATCTCAAATGCAATTAGGATGTCTTCATATTGTGTGTTCTAAAATGATCTGTTCTGTTCTTTCTTTCTTTTTTTTAAAGAAATGCACTACTGTCTGGCAATATATCAATTTGTTAGGGTCATTTATTTATTATTGAATGAATTGTGAAATAAAGGCCTTAAATGTAATTAAAACGCATTAAAATGTATTCCAACAGGCATTAATTGTACATATCTTTGAAAATAGTGATGTTATATAACTGTGTTACTGCAAATATTCATTGAAAATACAAAAAAATAAGCTCCAAAACACACTGAACTCCAGTTTTGAATGAAATTGAACACATTTTTTGGCACAAATTGCTCGTTGTGTATAATTCCGTTAAATATTGAAAATGATGCTGTGTACCAGTGTTCCTCGTGACACTAACCAAATCTGCACCACTTCTACAAACGTTTTATTGCTACACTACAATTACCTGGATAGCCTTAATTATGATGGCCCTGTAAATAAGTACTTTTATGAAACAAAGTATTATACAGTGGTTACATTGTGTTGGCAACAAATTGAGGGAATATATATTCGCATTGAGTAACCTTGTGTTTGAAATGCGGTATAAATTAACATTGACTTGCCTATAATTCATACATTCTTGACTGGATCCTGGGGAGATATGTATTTATTTATTTTACTTTTATAGTTTTACACTTAAAACCTACCCCAATATATCACCATAAGCAATGGGTTTTCTATTTATTTTTGTGGTATTTGGTCAAAACTCAATCTCCTGTCTCTTCTCCATGTCTCATGTGCTTCTGCTCCAAATGCTTTTTGTTTGTTTGTTTTTAATTTACTGTACATTCTTCATGGAGGCAGGTTATTGTTTTTTTTACTATTTATTCATGGAAGCAAAAGTGCTGAAGTGCTGGGCTGTACGTGTTTCGTAATGCAAAAAAACAAAAAAGATGTAACTTATGCTGTAATACCTGTCTTGGGACTGCAGGAGGCACTGTCACGCTATAGGCACCAAATAACGATTTAAATGGGGCATGCGCAGTAAAATTTTGTAATGTAAATACCTTGGTAAACTTGTCATTCTGAGTGCTATATGGATGCGTAATGTAAACAAACAACAGGAGGAGATGGATTATGCCTCAGATCCATATTGGACTGGTTATGCCTGTGTAAATGACTCAACATGATGACCGCGGTGAATGTTTAGTGGTTGATTTAGGTGGTGACGCGGTAAGTAAATCCAATAATCAAAATATAGTTTAAAAAAGGTTGAATATAGGCATATTTCAATCGTTTAATCAATGTTGAATCCATGTTTAAAAAACATTTGAATTTCGACATCTATTCAACTCCTAATCAATGTTATTTGCATGACATTGATTCCATGTCAGAAAAGATCAAAAATCAACGTTGTGTTCGACATCTATCATATCGAGCGCTTTCAATCGCAGTTCAACGTCATTTTTCAACATCTATTCAATCACAGGCCATAACACTATTTAAATGTTGAAACGATGTCCTTTTGCTATCTGGGAAGGGTTCCACCGGGACGTGCTAGGCTGGTAACAGCTAAGCTAGCTAGCTCCCTGGAACTACATGTTAATGGTTACTTCCGGGTTTTTCGCGATCGCTTTTTGTCACATTAAAATAGTAATTGTCATGAAAACGATAACAGGAAATTCTGAAAATGTCTGTGCATGAGTGTTAAGGATGTATATGTATACTGTATTGTCCGATTAACATTTAATGGTGTTGATTGATAGATATGTAGTTAGTTGTTTATTGAGCGTGGCTAGCTCCGCTAGCTTCTCTCGTTGTGCTTGCAGAGTAATGGCAGTATTTTACACACCTTACAAACAGAGATTGCATTGTCAAAGGGCAGCGGTCATTATTGATTTGAGAGTTCTGTTATCAAGAAAAAAGGATCGGTAGAATTACATTCAAGTCAATGGAGTGTTCTACTGCTGCTGTGAGGAGCTGTATAATAAATTATAATTAAATATTCGAATATATTCTAATGTTTTAATGAATGAATTTGGATGCGAAACTAGCCGTATTCTTTTACCTATATATTGTGTTAGCAGTGCGTTGCTTTAGTACCATTTCATCAGTGATTGTTGTACAGCTTACAAGAAGTTGTGCTAATGCTAATGTTAGCATACATGTCAGATCACAAACTGAGCTAGATGGCTCTGTGTTATGAGAGCGTAGGGGAAATGAGAAGCCATTGAGCGAGTTGTGGGGCGGTGCTAAACATTCAAACCTTGCAGAAACGGGTATAGCGCCTTTAACACACACCAGACTCATTCTAGGCAATGGGGGTAAAGTGTCTTGCCTAAGGACACAACGGCAGTTTGACACTTTACAGCCGCCCCACTGTGGCTGGTGTTCCCAGAGGTTAAGTGTCTTGCCAAGGACACAACGACAGCAGACAGTGGGAGTCGATGGTGAAAGTCGGGCTCAAAACCACGACCCTCTGGCTCAAAGACCAATGCTCTACCAACTGAGCTACTGTCGCCTTTACAAACTACAAACTAAATATGATATTAGGTAGTAAGACGATTAGACCAGAGAACCCAAATAACCCCACTAACACTCATGTGAGGTTATCCGTGATATAGGCCAACAGAACAGATTTCCCATAACACACTTCCTTTCCTTCCATTGAGAACTGTTGTTTTGAACATTTAAAGAGGTCCGATTCGTTCTCTCCTCTCTCTGTTTTCATTCTTGAGCCAACAAATCTGTCTCCACGTTCCAAGCACACATATCAGAGGACGCCAAGGTGTTTCCTGTTTTCCCCAAATCCTGTGTTTTAGGAGGATCTCAGGCTGATTTGGGGGCACAGACACATTTCAGTTTGCCTGTCTGTGGGAGAGCAGTTGAGCCGCCGCGCTCAGACTGTGCCAAACTAATGCCATTATCGCTGCTAATGCCATTGTGGACTTCTCCCAGGGCTAATGCCATTACTGTCTCCAGTCCGGCCTCTCATTCAGCCCAAGACCCCAGGGCCACGCACTGAGACCAACTTTACGCCTTATCTTTGAAGTGGACAAAACGCTTACAATCGGTGGGAGCCCAGAGTGGCCCGGACAAGACGGGGCGATGAGGGGGAGAGGGGGGGACGGGACATTGTTGCTTTTCCCTGAAGCGTCCCGAGCTGCCACAATAGGTCCACATGTGTGTGTATGGAAGTGTTCTCTCATGTCCACACAATGTGCCTTTGTTCCCAACAGCACAACAGTAATTTATGTAAAGAATCTTTCTCCTTTGTTGCTTTCACTTTGCTCCCTCCGGCCCGGACCACGCTGAGCCCTCCCCCTACTGTTAGACCGGGCACAGGCCACAAATCTGTTGCTGTAAATTGGGTAGCGATTCAAAACACAATATTGTATCTTTTGAGTGGTAAAAATCTGGGGTATCTAACTTTTGAACCACGGAAATTGGTAAAGTATGTAATACAATCTACAAGTATGCAAATTATAACATATTTTGTTATAATATATTGAAAGTGTACTGCAATATTTTATCTTTGATTCTTTCTGTTGGGGAAACATGATTCATTTCATAAAGTTGGGTAGCCACTCGATACAAACCGAGAATTTTTTTTGATGTTATTATATTCATGTCTGATCGTCTGATACCAATCTCCAGATTTTCTTTATCTGATCAACTGATTTCTTCTCCAATGACAAGGCAAGGCAACATTTAGTTGTTAAGCCCAATTCATTTACAAGGCAACTGTGTAAAGTGCTGAACAATACCCGACAGAAACAACAGCACAAGGCGTACAATTCATAAATAATCACAGTACATTTAAAAGAGTAAATAAAACAATCCTTCAGTTGTATGCACAGCTAAACAGAACTTTTTTAACCTGGATTTGAACATTGTCAGGGAAGTAGTCTGTCTCACATTTTCAAGAAGTCTGTTTCAGATTTTACCTGCATGAATTTTATATGCTGCCTCCCCATGTTTAGTCCTGACTCAGGCACCAGCAGGAGGCCAGTCCCTGTCCCTCAGAGTCCGAGTTGGTTCATATGGAACTAACATGTCACAGATTTACTTTGGTGCGAGGCCATGGAGAGACTTGTAACAAGCAGAGCTGCTTTAAAGTATTGTTTTACAAATATGGGTTCAGTTGTGTTATTTTTAATAGACATTTAGCCTGCAAGTAGCTACACAATAATGCAATACAATACACCACTTCTGGAAGCGTTCACTAGCTTTTAGTGTTTAGTCACTTTTACTACCATCAAAAGGCACATAAGGTAAACTTCATGGTATAGTTTGTCTTGGATAATGTCAAGTCAGTAGCACAGTAGCATGTTAGAAGGTTACTAAAATAGATTTCCATGCATTCGTTACCTTCTAGGACATTCTCCAGGGTCGCTTGTTCATTTGTGTATAACTTTCACTAGCACAAGCGCTACTATTTAGGGCATCCAGCGCAACTGTCAGAGGCCAATGGGGACAATATGAACGATTCTAAACAGCAGAGGGGGTGCCAAGAGAACCACTGTTTCTAACGACACGTCCATTTACACCGGAAAATTCTTTACTCCACCGGCGGCCTGGACCGAAGCCAAATAGTGTTAAGAAGAGAGAAGTCCGTTTTTATGTTAAATGTGAGTAAGTAATGTTTATTTATATAGCACATTTTTTTAGACTGAAGTCACCCAAAGCGCTTTCATCTTCATATATTACTGAATTCATAAATAAGTCTTCTCTGTATTTTTTATTAAATTACTTGTATTTTTGTATAGCCCTCAATCACAACAGCAGTCGTCTTGACGGACTTTGCAAAGTTGTCGATTCACCAAAAACAGATCAGAAAGTCAAACTCAGGACATACAATAATAACAAACACATTGGTCATTGGTCATAGAGGGCGGGATTAACAATGTCCATAAATGTTAATAATAGTTATAAACACATTTTTACTTCCTGTTTATCAGTGTGTTTTCCCCCCACACCTGGAGAGACTTTTCAACCACAGTGCAAAAATAAAAAGTTTGAGGAAAAACAAGTCACACATTTTACCGTCCGCCCCCCCTCCCCTTCTGTCGGTTTCCTTCTCTCTGCAATTCAGAGGTGTAAAATAAATATGAGCTCGACTGCAGGGAAATACTCGGCAGACTGCGACCAAACAAACCTCATGGATATAATTTTTTTCAAGCTGCGGGCCAATTATCAACATTAAAATGAAGGCTTGATATATCTCTTTTTGCCTGTAATGTGTCACATATTAGTACACAACATTTTAGGTTGTTCAAAGTCTAGTTTTAAATCAAGTTCTCCTGCTGGTGCCCAGGGTCAGGACTAAACATGGGGAGGCAGCGTTTCAGATTTATGCAGGTAAAATCTAGTCCAGGTTAAAAACAGTTCTGGGTGTCTGTGCATACAACTGAAACATTTTGTTTTTACTCTATTGAATGCACTGTGGCTATGTATGATTTGAATCCCACGTGTGATTTTAATATTTTGAATTACTTGTGTGATCTTATTTTCTTTCTATTTCCTTTATTGTTCGCTATAATTATAGTGCTCAAGTGAGAAATTCCCCAATGAGGTGGATTTCAGCTTGCTTCAGGTAGATACAGAGACTCAAAAAGTGATTTAAATCATAAAATCATAAAATCTACATAAAAAGGTATGTAGATTTTAATGTTTAGGATTTATGCCTGATGTGATATGGGTTGTGAGGCGCATTGTGTTGCCTTGTGTAGGAAAGGCAAACATAAAGTGCTATAAATTAAGATTATTATTTGCATTTTTAAACAGGGGACAGCAAATAGCTTGTATGGGCTGGTGCAGAATGGCAGACATTGGTATCATCTGGACAATAAGTAAAGTTAAAGAAAATGTGCCCATTCCCACCAGTGTTAGTTAACTCCTTTAGCACTCAAGCCTCTTTTTGCCCTCTTGGCCCCAGTCCTGACTCTGCTCTTCATCTCGGAGCTGCACTTGGCACTATGGTATTCCCAGTATCAAAATGTTCCCTTATGAGACTCTGGCTCCCAGTCCAGGCCCCCTTGTGGACATGTACTTACAGCTGTAGTAGTAGTGGTGTCCTGGCAGGAACTCAAAGCCCAGGGAGAAGGGCGTGAAGCGTTGGATCTTCTCTGAAAACCGCACAGGACCGAAGGGCGCGTAAGGGGTGTTGCACTCCCACCTCTTGATGGACCCTCTTGTCTCCACACAGCCCTGGAACGATGGCTGTCCGATCAGGTAGAGGGCCAGGGTCTCGGGCTGCTGCTGGTGCAGCTGCTGGTGCTGGGGGCCTCCGCTCTCCTGCTCCGGATAATAAGGGCAGTAGATGTCCAGGTAATCATTCAGCTTCACTTCGATGGACAATTCACCTGAGGTCAGTCTGAAAGACACAGGGAATCTATTAGAATACATGAATTTCCTCACATCCACTGATTTATCTTTTGGGCATAATTCAAACCAGATGACAGGAATGCACAATGTCCTGAGAGCCACTGTGGTTGGATTACTAAAATATCCATGAATGCTAGAGGCATGATGGAAACTTTCCTGACCATTTTGTCAATATCTTTATGTCCCTACAGAGTCAAATACTCAAAAACTGCAGTGCGTAAAAAACCCTCTTGTCTATAATGCCAACAATACCAAGCAGACAACAGGGACACACTTCAGAGGTTTGAATATTGCCAGAAAACTGACATTTCTTTATCACTAAACATTATTAGTGAAGTGTCAAAGAGTCCATCTGTGATGTGTGTCTTGGACCCAGTTGTATTTTCACCATCGACTAAAAATTAACGGACGTAGTCACGCCTATCTCCGCCGTTCTAACTTGTGAAAAAACGCATCTGCACATGCTTCAGCCGGCGCAACTCCATTCATTTGAACGAGAGACTTCACAGCGAGTAAACTAGAATGGTCCAAAAAAATTCACCCCCTTCAGCATTGACACACATGTGGAATGGAGCTTTGAGCCAAGAGCCAACTTTTGGACCTTCCTGTAGACGTTTTCGAAAGGTCTACCAATGCTATATGTTAGTCATGATGAACTATGGCTGTCGCCACAGCTGCCCTTGGGCAGACTGATGGAAGAAAGGCAACTAATCTCACGAAACAACAGTTTGACACTTCACAGCTGCCCCGCTGTGACACATATAACATCACTAGATGCTTGGCAATAGATGGCATGGATAAGAGACCACAGGAATCTCAGACCCTGTGTATTTGGACATTCTGTAATTGTGTCATTGCCTCAAGACGATGAGGAGAATCAAGTTAATGCAAGCATGCATTATTATATCACATTGAAAAATCTACCGGTAAATCCGGTAGACATGTACAGTACATGCTACACAGAGAGGTTGGAAGAACCTTTTCACTGTGAGGGGAAAGTGCTTTAGTCACTCTGCCCCCAGTGAGACTGGTCTGTGTTCACCCTGGACAGAGTACTACACTTCTCTAGATAACTTCAGCTTTCACTCAGAGAAGCTGAAAACAAGTGAAGAGGCGAGTAGAGTGAGAAATGAGGCCAGACTTAGTCAGGTACAGCTGTACGAATCATAACAGCAAGAAAAATGAGACATACTGACAGTGACACAAGACAGGTCCCACTGAGTGACTAAAGACAAATGATCGGAGAAATCAGATTGAGGCCATAAGATGAGACAAAAAATGAAGTTAAAAAGTTGCGTGAACAGGTGAAAAAAGTGCAGAAACTAAAGTTTAAAAATGTTTTAATTAGTGACCCTTGAGATTCTCTCTCCGACGTGCAGAGAGGAAGAGGAGACAGGACTTAATTGGGCTCTTCCTGGTTTCAGAATGAAGAGGAGGGCAAAGGGGCCGAGGTGCAAGTCCGACAGAGGAAGGACAGAGGGGTGACAGCGCAGAGGAGAGGGAGGTGTGGGAGGCAGTGGAGAGGAACCAGGGCTGAGCTGAGGAGGTGAAGAGCCCTGGAGTTAAGCAGACAGAAAGCAGGAGAAGCAGAACAAAAGCCTACACTTCATTTAAGACATTTCTCTAGAGTTTAACGTTCTTTTAACACATATGTCTCAGAGAAAACTATTTGATCTTGGATTTTAAAAAGTTACTAGCACTGCACTGGAGCTGGGAGAGAAACGAAGGAATAAATATATGTTTTTAAAATATTTTTCATGGCCCAAACGTGTATCATAAAACGTTTTGAAATTTATGAGACATACAAAACAGAATTCTTCTTTTTGGTAATGACATGTTCACTGTTCAAATAGATACATAACATAACATACTTATTAAGAGATTCAAACCATCATTTAATTTGGCAACATTTTGGTTGTTGTGGTTATAGCGCTCTCATCTTACAGCAGGAAAGTCCACAGGCAATGTCCTGATGGAGCTCCTGTTCCCATACCACTAAAACATGTTAAATAGGCTCCTCCCTCTAGGGGCCAGTCAAACAGCCTTAATATAATCATGTAATGTATGTTGAGATATATTGTTTTTGAAAGTATATGATATTTGAAGTCTCTTATGCAAGGAGCTTCCAAATATTCTCGAGGCAAAGATTAAAAGTCATTCATTCTGAAAAACCTTGAATGCTCTTACAACATTTATGGACATTGGTCCTTGTGGACCAATATTCTATGTGTTTTTTATCATTGCATTTCTTGTGTTTGAACTGTTTGATTCTCTGATCTGTGTTGGCGAATTCAACAGTTTTGAATTCGCCTCCCAAATAACAGTTGTGATTTAGGCCTATACAAGAATACATTTAATTAATTGACTTACAATAAAAAAATGGTAAAATGTGTATACAAATTTGAAGGTTGAAGGTTAATTTGGATTAAGCAAGGATACGTACAGTAAATGTTATAATCTGTTTACCAAAAAAATGAATGTAGGTCATTGTAGTGTCCCCTAAAAGCCTTACAACCCTGCATGTGTGTGTGTGTGTGTGTGTGTCAGAGGAACAAGGAGCACCCCAGCGGCAGGATCCTCCCCAGACGCTTCCTGCTCAATAGTCTTCGTTGCGCTGAATTGTCGATCTATCAAGCGGACAGGACGCCATCGATCTCTGCCCCTCCAGCGCGAAACACAACCACGCCTGGATCAATCCTGCCCCAAACGCCGCCACGCCATGTCCGATTGCTCTATTACCAGCGTCGGGCTAATTACAGCTGAACAAAAAGAGCCAGATTGTCCGGTTACAGGTGCGACAATAGACCACTCACATGGACAAAATCTTTCTTTTTTCCTATTCGCTCTTTTTGCGGCTCTTTCCGAGAGTTTGTAAAGAGACAACAACACTACAGGCCTTGTTGTGTTGTCATGATTTCTAACTCCATTTCAATGTTTTTTTTCTTGTGGTTATATTTGGTGGTCCCCTACATCGACAAGATTCTAAAACTATAGACAACTGAGGACGAGGGTGCCATGTACAAATGAAGTTAGAATATTGTTCAAAACTTCATTTGCATTTGAAACCAATGCATGCAAAGACAAATGCCAAGAAATTTGATGATTATGGCTTAGGGTCCATACAAAATAAAAATCTAAATTATAACAAATAAATATAACTTTAATACATATTATTTTGTGTATTATAATTTTTTTCATATTGTGTGGTAAATGGACTTTTGAACGATATTCTAATTTTCCACATTTCACCTGTATGTCTGTGTAAAATGGAGATTTTAAGATTCAGGAAAGTAGGGCTAAAAACATTCTTGTTTCTGACCTCACAGCCTAATGATAGTCCAGGCAAAGGCCACTATATAAAACAGATTCTCAAAATAAATTCTTAAAAATAGGTTAAAGCTGGGGTGCCTAACTTTTAAACAACAAATACATCTATGTAACTAGTTCCTATCTGTAAACTGTGTTTTTTCTGTGTTTTGTTTTTAAATCTGACTTGTACTGTATGTGTATTTTTGTATTTTAATGTGTGAAGCGCTTTTTGACCCTGGTCTGTGAAATGCACTGTACAAATAAACTTTACTAACTTACTTACTATCGCTTAAGACTGTTTGGTTCTATCAGTTGTTTTCACATGCATGGATTTTTGGCTTTTGGCCTCTGTCACTTTTTCAATGAGAAAAGAGAGGACCAGCGCTCACTCAGCCAATCAGCTCTCAATATGTAAAAAGAAATGAGTGCATATTATAACGACAGCAGGTTGTGGTCTGATTTTTCCACAAAACGTTAAAAAAATAGCATTGACTTATCAATTCAAACTAGAAGAAGTCATGCACTTCAGCTTATAACATGCACTATATGCACAGGTCCAAACTTTTGATTCAGTTTCAGATGTGTTTTATCTGCAGCTGAAGTGTTGGTACACATCATTTACAAGAACAACACATGTCAGTCACATTCACTTCTGTCGGAGGAGCCTACACCTGGTTTCCTCACACAACTATGTCTCTCAGGTCGGAAACATACCACGCCAAGCTGGGGCTAGTACACGCACTGTATCAAAGCCACTTTCTGAGCCAAGTATAAGAGCAGGAGTAAAGAATTATTGCTCTTTGACAGTTAGAGCAAATATACATGTTTTTGATGACGCTAATGCTGCGTAGAGGGGTCTTAACCTTGTCAAAAAGATACATTCTCTTGAAAATTCAACTCGCCTGGTTCCAAAGGGGTACACTGTTTATTGTTTTGCCCTTTAATTGTTTCAATGCATAATTCTGAACCAAATACTATTATCAATGTGCCTATGCAATTCTTTATTATCAATTTAACAGGGTAAAAACCTGAACGTCAATTTCAGCTAAATGTTCTGCAATTAGCTTCACTCCTTATTGTTTGAAATCAAGATTTTCTGGTAGCCCTTGCAATAAATATTTTGTCAATCACTGGCCGACCAATCACATAGCAGCATCTGAGCGGATACCTGGGGAAGCTCTCACACCAAACTTTAATGTCAATATATACAGCACACCTGCCCAAAGTTTGATATACAATACAACTTGCTTCCTGCATTTAGGACGTGAAAGATGCCAGTGCTGTTTCCCCCGGATCAAGAAAAAGCAATAATTCTTTGCTAGAGTCACTGTTTTCCACTGTTGCATTCCCTGACCACTTACAGCAAGAGCCCTTCAGATGGTGCTAAACATGTTAGAATAGAGCAGTGCAGGATTCATTCATAAACCACGTGTCTACTCTCAAAGAGAACTGAGAAGGACCATATATAATCGAACATAATCACCGTGACTCAACGATGACTCAGAAGGCCTCACTATCATTATGATCATTAAAGCTGGAGTACCCGACTTTTAGATTTCATAAATACACTTGACTTGTCTCTGCAGAAAGAGACTTGTAGACTCTTTCTGCAGAGACTTACATTTTACTGAAATGTTGTGAACAAATGCTGTGTTATTAGAAGACATTATTATTCGTACTGAGAGCTGATTGGCCGAGTGAGGGCTGGAACT